TATTCTCTCAAAGGGAGCTGCGTATCAGATGCCTTTTAGAGACCTCGCTTAATTGTCTTCAGGCGTTTTTCGCTTTGAAATCGTAGCGTTCTTTGTAATGTACAACTTTGGGAGAGTGGCAGAGAAATGGGCAGCCTCTTGAATGCAGTGCTGTGTGTGAGCGAGTGTTTCTGATGGTTTGTGCTCGCATGTCAGTCGGAGAGTGTGTGTTTCCATGTGTGTTTGGGTGTAAGCGTATGCGTGATTGGTGTCTATGATTGTGTGAGTGTTTCTCTGCAGATTCTTGGCAGTGTGAGTGTGCTGAATGTTTGGCAGTGTTCAGGATTAGCATGATTATCGAGTAGTCTCTGTTCTCTTACATATATTATCTGCCTGTGCCGATCACTCAGCTTACCCAACCAGCCGTGTCTCCATTAGGCAGAAAAAACAGTCCATCTGTGCCATTTGCTTTTTTGTTGCACACTTTTATAATGCCAGATTTATTGCGACATGCTATTCATTATAGTTTTTTTATTTATTTTTTTTATTTATGTGTTTCTTTAAAAAAAATTATTTTATTCTACTTCTGTTTTTCTGGCTCAATAACCAGTGGCCAGCATGCATTTTTATGTTTGTGATATTGAGGTAATTGGTGACAATTTAATTTTAGTTTTTGCTTGAAATATAGATGTAACCTACAGTTGAGCTAATTTGCTGCATCTTTCATTCAGTTTCCCCCATCAGGGCCCTGTCATTTAATTTGTATGTCTGTGCACACTTTTATAATGCCAGATTTATTGCGACATGCTATTCATACAGTTTTATCTCAAGCAAATCTCAGCTACTTTTACATTTGCTTCGATCATAAGAAATCTTAGAAAATTGGTTTTATTTTCATGCATTCTAATATGGATTTTAAATATGGGGGAATGGCATTAGGAAATGTCCAAAGCCAAATTTACTGTTATTTTAGTTTCAGGGCCCTGTCATTTAATTTGTATGTCTGTTTCTTTTTCATTTTCTTCTTTTTTTATATGTGCTTTTAGAGCAAGACAAAATAAGACAATAAAATAAACAAAACAAAAACACTGTGCTGTAAATAATGCAAGTCGGACAATAAACAAACAAACTAAACAAAAACAAAAACACAAACAATGAAGTTAAATTTACATGTAATTATGTGAAGTGTTGGTGTAAGATTGTGTTATGTATATATGTTGTACACCTCTCTATCTTGTATGTATATAAAGTACACTATATTAGAGAGAGAGAGAGAGAGAGAGCGAGAGAGAGAATCAGTATCAGTAGATAAAGAGAGGAAATAAATAAAATAATATTGAAAATAATTCAAATAATCAGAATATAATGAAGTAAATAAATAGATTGTAAAGAAGAGGGGAGGAAGAGAAAACGAAGAGTTTCAGTACTAGAGAACTCATATCACTGAGTTCATTGAAACTGTCTTGTGCGTGCCGTTTGCATTTTTCTTGTACTTACGGTAATCTGCAGTCTTCTTTTTACTGAATTAATTCTGTAAATCTTGTAATTGTGAAGTAACCTTTGAACTGTTCAAACTGGTCGTTAACTGTTTTCAGAGCCCAAGATGAATGTTTTGGGATACTGGTGAGATTCCCCCACAGTACACTCTAAAATTCAGCCTGACCAAAATCTAATTAATGCTCTACTAGATCATACCTAATTGAAGCAAGATTAAACACGACTTATTAAAAGTTATAAAAAGATAAACTTGCTAAGCTATCCGTGCATATTGCAAATGTTCATAATGAGGTTTAGTAGATATAATTTACATTGTTAGGATAACTGTAAATGAAGTTTCTTTTTAAGTATGTGCAGAAATAGGCAAGATTTCAGATGACATACACTGATTGTGATGCACACAGTCTTTTCTGAACTTAATAAATCATAATATAAAAAAATGTTTAATTGCATGCAGAAAGAAATATATAAATGCTGTACAAGCTTTTCACAAAACTAGCTTTAGTTTTCGAACTATTCTGCAATGACTTCTGATCAGCTGGTGTTTTGGTGATTATTCATTCATTCATTCATTCATTCATCTCAAAGTACTTCTCAAATGAACATTATAAATTAACATTTCACAACCAGAAAATAAGATAATAATTTTATAATTTTAAACATACACATTTATTTATTTATTTATTTACTTACATATTCATTCATTCATTCATTTGAAAAAAAAAAGAAAAATCTTTGGCCACGTTCACACTGCAAGCAATAGTGTTCAATTCCGATTCATTGCTCAGATCTGGGGTTATTTTTTTTTATTATTTATGGCTGTTCACATTGACTATTATTAATGTGGCCAATATCAGATTCCAGTGTGAACTGGTCATGGTTCTGAATAGGGCTGGACAATAATTCAATATCAATATGTATCGTGATATAATTTTTTTCAATAACGGTGATATGATTTTTAAACACATTTCCGATATTTCGATATACATTACCAGTGTTTCCCATACATTGATTTATTTGTGGCGTTTGACTTCGTTGAATAAACATGAGCACTGCACGTTTCAAAATCAAAACAGGTCGCGGGTGTTTTATATGAATGTATCTCTGAAGGGAATTGACTGTCTTCTGAAAAGTTTTGATGGCGTTTTCATTTGATCTGATAAAGAAGCATTCATGAGCGGAGCTGCTTTGATTACAGCCATTACTGGAGATTTTGAATGGTTTTTTTTAATTATTATTTTTTAAGAATTCTCTTCTGCTCACCAAGGCTGCATTTATTTGATCCAAAGTACAGCAAAAACAGTAAAATTTTGAAATATTTTTGCTATTTAAAATAACTGCTTTCTATTTGAATATATTTTACAATAATTTATTAAGCTATATTTTCAGCATCATTACTCCAGTCTTCAGTGTCACATGATCCTTCAGAAATCATTCTAATATGCTGATTTGCTGATTATTAATATTTAAAACAGTTGAGTACATTTTTTTTTCAGGATTCTTTGATGAATAGAAAGATCCAAAGATCAGCATTTATCTGAAATAAAAAGCTATTCTGCACTATTCCGTTCAAAAGCTTGGAGTCAGTATGATTTCTTTTTTTTCTTTCTTTTTTTGTAAAAAATGATAGAAATTAATACTTTTATTTAGCAAGGATGCTTTAAATTGATCAAAAGTGATGATAAAGACATTTATAATGTTACAAAAGATTTCTATTGCAGATAAATGCTGTTCTTCTGAACTTTCTATTCATCAAAGAAACCTGAAAAAAATCTACTCAGCTGTTTTCAACATAATAATAAATGTTTCTTGAGCAGCAAATCAGAATATTATAATTATTTCTGAAGGATCATGTGACACTGAAGACTGGAGTAATGATGCTAAAAATATAGCTTTGAAATCACAGGAATAAATTGCATTTTAAAATATTTTCAAATAGAAAACAATTTTAAATAGTAAAAATATTTCTAAATGTTACTGTTTTTGCTGTATTTTGGATCAAATAAATGCATGCTTGGTGAGCAGAAGAGAATTCTTTATAAACATTAAAAATCTTACTGTTCAAAAACTTTTGACTGGTAGGTTATGTTAGCCTATAGTTTGAAGTTAAATATATTAATACTAATTAGGTGAGTCTGAGACGATTATTTGACAGTGATTTCGCATTTCTTGTTTGTATAAAGGCTAAATACAAATAAAAGGTGAAAATTAATTTATTTGTGCTGTTTTTTTTTCTAAAATATTATATGGTTTTATATGAGGTGTCATAGACTTGGCAAATAAATTTTTCATAAGTTTGTATGCACAGGCGTTCTTGGCAGTTTTGACGAGGCTTTTTTTAATAGTATTTATATTGATATCGGAATTATATCGTATCGACCGAAATTAAGAAATATATCGTGATATAAATTTTGTCCATATCATCCAGCCCTATCCACATGTGCAGAAGAACGATAACAAGATGGCATAAAGCACGCTGTCATACGAAAATAAGCACGGAGGCCATAGAAATGTTTAAACATTAATTTATAAGCTGCTGTGGCGCGAAAGCCAGAAAATTAATGAGCAGGCAATTAGGAGGACGAAGATGAGGAGACATATTTAAGGTATGGGCCCCTAAGTGCTTTCGGTTTCAGTTCGTTTGACAGATACTGTGCCAAAGCATAATGGCCCAAAACACAACTTGAAAGACCTTTTATGTTAGAATAGGAAGTTTAAATATATTTTAAAGGGGTGGTTGATTGCGATTTCACTTTTTTAACGTTAGTTAGTGTGTAATGTTGCTGTTTGAGCATAAACAATATCTGCAAAGTAAGAAGTTAAAAGTTCAATACAAACGGAGATATAGTCTTTTAAAATGATGGCAGTTTAATGCCTACAAAAATGACGCGTAGGGACTAAAACGAGTTACTTCCCAGGTTTGTGACATCACAAACCCAGATAAGCCCCGCCCCCAGGAACACGCAACAAAGGGGGCGAGGCCATGCTGCGCTGCTATTTCTGAGGGAGGGGCTTCATAAAAACAGGAAATCATCAGAGCGTTCATAGGAGAAGAGACAGAGTGGTGTGGAATAAAGGTAAATTATGTGAAAAATTATGTTTTTTTGTTTTTTTTAAACGAAGCATTAACACGTTAGACTGCACCCTATAAACACAATCAAGCCTAGAAAAAAAACCAGTCAACCACACTTTTTGCCTGGAAGACCTATCTTTTCATATCATCATGTGACCATGATAATATCGAGACAGTTTTGCTATCGCAATATCACGATATTGATAATATTGTTACATCCCTACAGATTACTTTTTTTCGAGTAACTAGTAAAGTAACACATTACTTTTAAATTTACATTGAAATATCTGAGTTACTTTTTCAAATATCAACTAAGTACTTTGTTTTTATTTTCACATAGCTATGAGAAGCGTTAAACATGGACACGCGTGTGGTTGCCTTACTGTACTAAAGCTTTAAACAGGATCTTTTCCCATTTATTCACCGACCTGTCCCTGTGTTAAGAGAAAATGGGAGTGAGGTGCAGAGGCACTTCCTTCTGCCTGAGGCTTATTAATTTAACTTTTGGTGTGAACGGGTCTTTACAGTTGCCAGAAATATAAGGCTACGTTCACACTGTCAGTTTTTGGGATTGACAACCGCATTTTCTTTACAGGTGTGAGTCTCGAAATGTCCCTTTCACACAGCAGCTTACAGTTGTGTTTAGAATACTGTCTGTATGAACGTGCAACGGAAGTCAAGCCCGTATTCCTTACCAGTAACCATAGCGACAGTGACCAAAGTAAAATCAAAGATGGCGACGTGCATAAAACTGAAAGTCTTATCACTTTCTGACACGACAAGAGTCCAATCGAGCCGCGAGTTCTTTCGTCAAATATTCATTAACCAACAGCAGCTGACCGGAGCGGCTCCGGTGGAAAACTGACGGGCTCTAAAACGTTCAGATGACACGCAGCTCATTTCTCCGTCACTGTAAGTTACCGAAAACACACGTGAAAACACGTAGACACGGGTTTGTGCGCCAGAGCGGCTCTCTCTCGCACTGTATGACGTGACAGACAACTAGTTGTCCAGTCCTGTTCCGTTCACACAGCGCGTGTGTTCCGAGAATGCGGTAACGGTTGTGAGTCCTGAAAATGTACGGGTGTGACAGAATGTCACGCCCGTAAATAACCGAACTGTGTGTGAACGTAACCGTATTATGGACTCAAAAACAGGACTGACAACCGTATTCTGCTGCTGTGTGAACGTGGCCTAACATTTAGGTTTTGTTGTTTATAAAAAAAAATAAAAATAATGATCCAACCCGAGCCTAGGTGACAAAAAGTAGGCTAATGCAAAATTAATGTAACGCATTACTTTCTAAGTAATTACAGTAACACAATTAGTTACTTTTTATGGAGTAACGCATAACTTTCCCCAACACTGATGACAATCATATGTTCTTAAGTGTCCAATGCTTTTTAGGTTACTGTACAGTGATCTGTGCAGTGTAAATACTTAATACATCTTGCATTCATCATTTAAAGCTGCAAAGTGGTTGTAATAAAATTATAAACAACAGTTTCTTTTTTTCCCACTGATTAAAAACAAACAAATAAAATGTCCACTTGACACGGTTCGGTTTTTCTTTTGTAGATGCGACCTCTCTGGTTTAATAACACTAGTGTTGGATCAGCAATAGTGTAAACAAGCTCGTGCGGATTTTGTACAGAGGCCACATTCGAGCTCTCAGGCCTCTGCCAAGCACTGGAACTATGATCAGATCACATGGGCACACGGAGACAGTCAACATAAAGGTGTTAATGCACTTTTTAAACAAAAGAACAATATTTCACATTGCTCTGTGATTTTTATCGCTCTTGAATCTGTTATTTCGTTTTCTTATCATAGTCCAGATGGTGTCTTCTCTACTGGATCCGTTTGAGAACTGTGTGTTAATAATAAATTGGCTTTGAATTTCTTGAAGTATCTCAGTTTTGTGTTCTTAACAACAATATCCACTATTCATTTTTCCCCCTCAGAAAGTGTATGCATGTGTGTGATGGTGTGTGGGCTACAGAATGGGATAAATATAGTTGTCGTAGGGCTGGAGGGTGAGGTTAGCCCTTGGGAGAGAGGCAGAGAATCTTAAATAAAGCAGTCTGAGTGAGGAAAAGACAAAGAGAGAGTTTGCATATGTGATGCATGCATGAATGTCTTCGAGGCTCGAGGTGAGTTTCACCATGTGTTTTGTAAGAACTAAATATGCTGCATGTACTTGTGCCGCTAAATGCCCATAATAAAGAGATTTCTCAGCTCATTGGATGTAAAAAATGATGTTCAAAATATTGATAGAATGTTGAAATTTAACAAGACAGAATAAGACATAATATATATGCATTACCGGTCACAAATTTGCAATAAATATATGTTTTTATTGCTCACCAAGGCTGCATTTAATTGATGAAAGTTACAGTAAAAACAGTAATATTTTTGAAATATTATTACAATAGCTGTTATATATTTTAATACATGTTAATTTGTTATTTGTTGTAAATGTTAATTATTACATTACATTAGTTTATTTGTTGCAGAGATTAATTTTCAGCATCATTCAGTGTCACGTGATCCTTCAGAAACCGAAATAATATATTCTGAGTTGTTTTTCTGTTTATTATGTTTGTGGAAACCGTGACACACTGCTAAAAAAAAAAAAAAAAGTAAATAAATAAAAATAATTTTATGTAACAAGCATACATTGAATTGATCAAAAATGACAGTAAAGACATTAATATTGTTAGAAATATTTCAAATGCATTTCAAATAAACCCTGTTCTTTTGAAGTCAATCCTGTTTCTTTCCAGTCATCAAAAAAGATGTATTCATATATACAGTGGGTACGGAAAGTATTCAGACCCCCTTAAATTTTTCACTCTTTGTTATATTGCAGCCATTTGCTAAAATCATTTAAGTTAATTTTTTTTTCCTCATTAATGTACACACAGCACCCCATATTGACAGAAAAACACAGAATTGTTGACATCTTTGCAGATTTATTAAAAAAGAAAAACTGAAAAATGCTCAGTATTTAGTAGAAGCACCCTTTTGATCTAATACAGCCATGAGTCTTTTTGGGAAAAATGCAACAAGTTTTTCACACCTGGAATTGGGGATCCTCTGCCATTCCTCCTTGCAGATCCTCTCCAGTTCTATCAGGTTGGATGGTAAACGTTGGTGGACAGCCATTTTTAGGTCTCTCCAGAGATGCTCAACTGGGTTTAAGTCAGGGCTCTGGCTGGGCCATTCAAGAACAGTCACAGAGTTGTTGTGAAGCCACTCCTTCGTTATTTTAGCTGTGTGCTTAGGGTCATTGTCTTGTTGAAAGGTAAACCTTCGGCCCAGTCTGAGGTCCTGAGCACTCTGGAGAAGGTTTTCGTCCAGGATATCCCTGTACTTGGCCACATTCATCTTTCCCTCGATCGCAACCAGTCGTCCTGTCCCTGCAGCTGAAAAACACCCCCACAGCATGATGCTGCCACCACCATGCTTCACTGTTGGGACAGGTGATGAGCAGTGCCTGGTTTTCTCCACACACACCGCTTAGAATTAAGGCCAAAAAGTTCTATCTTGGTCTCATCAGACCAGAGAATCTTATTTCTCACCATCTTGGAGTCCTTCAGGTGTTTTTTTAGCAAACTCCATGCGGGCTTTCATGTGTCTTGAACTGAGGAGAGGCTTCCGTCGGGCCACTCTGCCATAAAGCCCCAACTGGTGGAGGGCTGCAGTGATGGTTGACTTTCTACAACTTTCTCCCATCTCCCGACTGCATCTCTGGAGCTCAGCCACAGTGATCTTTGGGTTCTTCTTTACCTCTCTCACCAAGGCTCTTCTCCCCCGATAGCTCAGTTTGGCCAGACGGCCAGCTCTAGGAAGGGTTCTGGTCATCCCAAACGTCTTCCATTTAAGGATTATGGAGGCCACTGTGCTCTTAGGAACCTTAAGTGCAGCAGAAATTTTTCTGTAACCTTGGCCAGATCTGTGCCTTGCCACAATTCTGTCTCTGAGCTCTTCAGGCAGTTCCTTTGACCTCATGATTCTCATTTGCTCTGACATGCACTGTGAGCTGTAAGGTCTTATATAGACAGGTGTGTGGCTTTCCTAATCAAGTCCAATCAGTATAATCAAACACAGCTGGACTCAAATGAAGGTGTAGAACCATCTCAAGGATGATCAGAAGAAATGGACAGCACCTGAGTTAAATATATGAGTGTCACAGCAAAGGGTCTGAATACTTAGGACCATGTGATATTTCAGTTTTTCTTTTTTAATAAATCTGCAAAAATGTCAACAAATCTGTGTTTTTCTGTCAATATGGGGTGCTATGTGTACATTAATGAGGAAAAAAAATTAACAAATGATTTTAGCAAATGGCTGCAATATAACAAAAGAGTGAAAAATTTAAGGGGGTCTGAATACTTTCCGTACCCACTGTAAATAACTTGCCCTAAGGGCAAGTTATTTGTTTTTCAATTTTTTATTTATTATTTATTTATTTTTGCCCTACGGGCAAGTTATTTATTTTTCATTGGCTCAAGTTAAAAAAATATAGATGTGAATCATTACCAAAAAAATTTTTTAATTGGATGAATGAAACATTTTTTTCAGTGTA